CCCAGGAGTCTGCCCGTGGCTCCCCTGGCCCAGGGGAGAGAATGGCAGTGGGGTCTCACCAGCCTGGCCCAGAGCCTCACTGCACCCCACAGCCGTGTGGGCCCTGCTGCGGGCCCCCAGAGGCCACGCCGGCCTGCCCGTGCCCACTCCTCCTGCGGCAGCCACGCCGCGCTTTGCCCCGTCGCGTGGTCCTCGCCGTGTTCCCCGCACGCCTTCTGCTCTCCCCACGGGATTCCAGGTCCGGGGTCGCCGTCCTGTCCCTGCAGGCTCAGGCAGCCGGGTTGTCGGGATCGACGCCCAGTGACGCCGTGACTGTGCAGTTCTATTGTCATGGTCTCAGAAGCAAACTGGAGGGAATTCGCTGACACTGCGCATTGACGCTGCGCCAAGAAGGGCCCCTGGGCCTGGGAGCTGGTCGGCACCCAGAGGGGCCCCTGGTCCCAGCTCTCCATCCGCTGCGGGGGGCGTGTCGTCTCTCGGCCGGATAACAAGCAATACAACACTACACGAACGACAGCAGACTTGTCCTTCCTGGAACAGATACGGATTCTGCAGAACTCACCGGCAGCTAAGACTAGGACACGACACTGTGGAAGGGGCGGGATGATGGGTGTTTCCGGCGGGAACCTGAGGAGCAGATCTCGTCTCGTTCCGGTGAAAGTGGGGCCACTTGTTCTGTGCCACACAGATGAGCTGTGTCCTTCCTTCAAGAGCCGGGGCGCACTGGGCCGTGAGCACCTCCTTCTCCCCCACGGCTGTGCACACAGGAGTCTGTGTGTGGGCAAAATAGAGGTTTACATGGTATGCACATATATACCCACAGTATACACAGAGTATACATACAGGATACACATGGTGTACACACAGTATAAACACGGTATATACACAGGATACACACTGTCTACACATGATATACACACAAGATATACACAGTAAGCATACAGGATAAACACAGGATACAATATACACAGAATGTGCATACAGTGTATATACAGTATACACATAGAATACACATATATACTTGATATATACACAGTATACACATATTATACATGCAATATATACATAGTATACACAGTATACACACACAGGATATAAACAATATACACAGAGTGCAGATAAAATATACACATGGTATATACACAATATACACACATTATACACTTGATATACACACAGTATACACACAATATGCAGAGTATACACACAGTATACACATGATATACACACAGGATACACACAGTATATACATGATATACACACAGGATACACACAATATGCACAGAGTATACACACAGTATACACATGATATACACACAGGATACACACAGAATACACATGATATACACACAGGATACACACAATATGCACAGTATACACACAGTATACACATGATATACACACAGGATACACACAGTATATACATGATATACACACAGGATACACACAATATGCACAGAGTATACACACAGTATACACATGATATACACACAGGATACACACAATATACAGAGTATACACACAGTATATACATGACATACACATAGTATACACCTGCTATACACACAGTAGACGTGAACCCCTAGACATCTGCAAGCTGAGCTGGGATTTCCTGGACTCAGCCTCCAACACAGCTTGCTGTCTCACTTGGGTCGTCTTGGGTGTGATCTGCCTTGGCGTGAACTGATTTCCTCTAATACTGTTGTTCAGATCATCTTAAAATAGTAACCCTCAACAGTACCATATAATTCCATTCCAAAAGCACTTGTGATCAAAATCACAACTAAACTACAGAACAGCCAACATTCAGAACCGCCTGAACTCAAGCTGAATGGAAGTCCTACAACTACAAAATTAAAGCAGCAGCCACATCGAGACTGGTAGGAGGGGCGGAGGCAATGGGCTGGTCCCACACCCACGTGTGGCGGATAAAAATCAGGAGGACACCACGGCTGGGAAGGTCCTCCCTGAGGACTGAGGGGTTCCCGTCCCACACCAGGCGCCCCGCTCAGGGTTCCAGTGCCAGGAAGAGAATTCCCGTAACTTCTGGCTGGAAAAACCAGCAGGAACTGAGGCTCAGGGAGGCTGAGGCGGCTGGAGCCCCAGGCAGCTCCTTAAAGGGCCCGCGCACGGACTTACCCCAACTTGCTCCCTCTAAGCTTGGAGGGGAGGCAGCTGGAGAGGCACCAGAGACATACAGGGAAGAACTGAGCTGTTTGGCACTGGAGCGAGGGCTGGAGAGGGGACTTTCTCCTGGACAGACGTGCTGGCAGAGACTGATGTTCCTTTGGTGAGCCCTTCCCCAGGGTGGCAGATGCCACCTTATCGGGGACTCCAGCAACCTGGCTCATACTATTTTCCCTGCCCTCCCTGAGGCCCCACCCCACCCAATTTTCAAGCCCACCCAAGCTGTCTCCAAAGGCTTTACCACAGGATTGGCCTGTCTTGGATCCTGCTTCAGAGTTTCCTAAAATCTCTCAAACAAGCAGCACCTGGACTCAGCGAGCCCCATACCTCTCGTTAAGTAGCCCCAGGCCTGGCACTAGAAGCAACCAGCCTTGGTTCACAGCTTGGCTTTGCCTGGGCACCTCCAAGCCCAGCACAAGGAGCAGCCATCTGCATATTACTCTGTAGCTTATGCTGGTGGTCCCGGGTAGAACACAGGCAGTGGCTGACTTTGCCCCAGAGCCAGCACACCTGGTGGACAGTTTCAGATCACATCAAAACAGCACCACTCAACCACCCCCACAAGGGACATAGTCCATGAGCAGACTCAGTGGGTACCAGAGCCCTGCTGCAGTAAGTCTTGCTCTGTGTGGTGGGCCCTGCACAGCTGATCCTACATGGTAGTTAGAGGCCAGTGGTCAGTGGGCACAGCCAGTCCTTGCAGCAGAACAGCCTGAGTAAATCCCTCCCATTGATGTGCCAACAGCAATCAAGACTCTGTTACAACAGAAGGGTGTACAGTTCACACTAGGGGTGCACCTTGAGGGCACAGCTGGGGTAATCAGGGAGTCTGTGCTACTGGATCCTACAGGACACCTATAATAATAGGCCACCCTATGAAGCCTAGAAGACAGAGCAACTCTACCTAATACATAGAAACAATCACAGAGAAGCAGCCAAAATGAGACAAAGAAACATGTCCCAAATGAAAGAAAAGAACAAAACTCCAGGAAAAGAACTAGACAAAATGGAAATAAGCAATCAGTCAGATGCAGAGTTCAAAACACAGGTTATAAGGATGCTCAAGGAACTTGGTGAGACATTCAAGGAACTTAGTGAGACCTCCCAGGAACTTAGTGAGAACATCAACAACATCAAAAAGGACCAGTCAGAAATGAAGGATGCACTAACTGAAATAAAGAATAATTTACAGGGAATCAATAACAGAGTAGGTAAAGCCAAGAAGCAAGTCATAAAGAATAATTTACAGGGAATCAATAACAGAGTAGGTAAAGCCAAGAAGCAAGTCATCAATTTGGAGTATAAGGAAGCAAAAAACACCCAATCAGAACAGCAAAAAGAAAAAGGAATGCAAAAAAAAATGAGGATAGTATAAGGAGCCTCTGGAACAACTTCAAGCATGCCAACATTTGCATCATAGAGGTGCCAGAAGGAGAAGAGCAAGAACAAGAAATTGAAAACCTATTTGAAACAATAATGGCAGAAAACTTCCCTAACTTGGTGAAGGAAACAGACATACAAGTCCGGGAAGCACAGAGTCCCAAACAAGATGAACCCCAAGAGGCCCACACCAAGACACATCATCATCAAAATGCCAAAGGTTAAATACAAAGAGAAAATCTTAAAAGCAGCAAGAGAAAAGTAGTTCATAGCCTACAAGGGAGCTCCCATAAGACTGTCAGCTGACTTCTCAAAAGAAACTTTGCAGGCCAGAAGGGAGTGGCAAGAGACATTCAAGGTGATGAAAAACGACGACCTACGACCAAGATTACTCTATCCTACAGTGTTATCATTTAGAATCAATGGACATATCAAGAGTTTCCCAGGCAAGAAAAAGCTAACGGAATTTCTTACCACCAAACCAGTATTATATGAAATGCTGAAGGATCTTCTTTTAAAAAAAAGAAGATAAAAATATAAATAATAAAATAGCAATACATACATATCTCTCAACAATGGAATCTACAAACAAAATGAGCAAGCAGAACAGAAACAGACTCATAGATACAGAGAACTTTTTGCCGCTTGCCAGATGGGTGGGGGCTGGAGGGATGGGTGAAAAAGATGAAGGAATTAAGAAGCACAAACAGCCCTGGCCGGTTTGGCTCAGCGGTTAGAGCTACGGCCTGCGGTACAGAGAGACCCGGGTTCGGTTCTCGCTAAGGGCATGTACCTCGGTTGCAGTTTGTCCCCGGCCCTGGTTGGTCGTGCGGGTGGCAACCACTCGATGTGTCCCTTCACGTCGATGTTTCTCTCTCTCTCTTCCTCTCTCTCCCTCCCGCTCTGTCTGAACAAAAAATGCAAAAAAAAAAAGAAGCACAAACTGTTTGTTAGACTGATGAACCTCAAAGGGAAGGGGGGAGGGAGGGTGGGATGGGATAAACCAAAGAACTCCTATGCACATGTGCATAACCAATGGACACCGACAATAGTGTGGGGAAGGCAGGAGGGGGGCCAGATTGGGGAGGAGGGGAGTCAATGGGGAAAAGGGGGGACATCTGTAATACATTCAACAATAAAGATGAGTTGTTTTGTTTTGTTTTGTTTTAAAAAAGCACTTAGACTCACAGTGCTCAAATTTGTGTCCAAAAAAGGGTGTTTCTGAAAAATCAGCCTCCATTCAGTTGGACTCTATCGGTGGGGTTTTCAGGAGCTGGGCTTGCTGTCAGCGCCGGGTGTTCCCTGAGCCCCGAAAGGCGGGCCCAGGGGAGACCTCTCAGGCTGCAGGGGTGCAGTGCCGGGATCAGCGCCTGCTCACCGCGGGGTCCCGCTCCACGTGCTGACTGCCCCCGTCTCTCTGCTCTTTCCCTCAGAGGAGATTCTGAAGACGCACATCGCCCACTGGTGGTCTCCAGACGGCACAAGGCTCGCCTACGCCACCATCAATGACTCCCGGGTGCCCGTCATGGAGCTGCCGACCTACACGGGCGCCGTGTACCCCACGGTGAAGCTCTACCACTACCCCAAGGTAGGCGAGGTGGGAACAAGCCCTGGTGCCCCGCCCCCTCGGAGGTGGTCTGCGCCCCGCAGGGACATGGAGATGCCGCAGCACAGACGGAGGGATTCGGCCCCGTTACCTTCTCTTCACTCCCGTCGGTGGAGTTCAGCTTGTTGGCAAATTTCCTTTCTTTTCAATCACGGAACCGCGTCCATCTCTGGCCTAAGCTTCCTCCGAGCCAAAATAAATCATTCCCTCCACTGTGATTCCCGGTGTCAAAACCCACACTGCCCAAGATGCTCCCTCCTTGTTCCCTTTCTGGGTTTGGCCCCTGAAGGTCAGAGGGACCCGTCTGCCCCCGGGTCCCTGGGTCCACGCTGGGCTTTTGTGAGCTCGGTCAAGTTGCTGGCAGGGGAGCCAGCGGAGGACAGGGTGGGAGGGGCCCGCACTGACCTGCTGTTAGCTAATTAGAGCAGCAAGGTGCCAGGGGGGCTCCACACAGCTAAGTACAGTGTGCTGGACTGTGCCATCCCCAACACACACACACACACACACACACACACACACACACAGGGCAGCCCGCGCTGTCTGACCCTCAGCGGACCACCCACGTATGGAGTGGAGTCCCTTCCATCTAGGAGTGACCACCTTGATCTTACGTGAGCCCTGGGACAGGTGCTCGGAAGTCAGGCTGATGAAACCCCAGATCACTCAGGGGCTGCGGCCTCGTGTTTTCCTGGGAAGTCGCCATGTTCTGGCCAATAGAATCTCTTTGCCCCTTGACACCTCCCAAATCAGAGCTAGGAGCTGGGGGACCCGCCTGACTGCCTTGTCACCGGGCGGATGTCCTCCTTCACCCTGAACTGCTCCCTCTGCAGGGCGCCAGGACACGAGGGCATTAGTCTGATCCTCGGTCCCGCTGAGGCGATGCCACATGGTCCCCTCCAGCCCGGTGCCGCTGGTCCCCAGGACAGAGGGAGCAGAGGCTGAGCAGGAGGTGGTTCAGTTCCTGTTGAAGGACTTCATTTTCCCCACTGCTGGGCCACACTGACGTTCTCCACTTCCAGAATGTTCTCTCCTTGTCTAGTTTCTTTCCCCCTCCCAGTGGTTAGCCCAGTGGAGGGTGCGCACCTGGTGCTGATAGACGGGGGCATTGGAGCCATGAGGGGTGGGCTTCCGAGCACAGGAGGAAGGGTCGGCTCAGTCACCCTGTCCTCCCTCCACGCAGGAGCAGCCTGCCCTCCGCAGCCTCCCGGAGCCTGTGCCTGCCCCGCCAGACCCCGTGGGGCTCAGGCGTCGTCCAGACCGCCGGTGGCTTCCTCATATCCCTGTCCTTTGTCCCCCCCAGGCTGGCTGTGAAAACCCCACCATTTCCCTGCACGTCATTGGCTTAAATGGACCCACCCACGACCTGGAGATGATGCCGCCTGACGACCCACGAATGAGGTTTGCTTCCTTCTCTGAGTCATGTTAGAAAAAATGAACAGTAAGACGAAGTGTCCTTGTTGAAGTTGCAGGGTGTTTTGGGGCTCCGCTGTGTTTTACTGCTGATGAGAAGGGTCATGGTCTCCACCCTCTTTCTGTCATAACCCCCCCCCCCCCGGTGTCCTGGGAAAGGAACGGCAGCCGGACCAGTCTCCCCATTTCTTCCCGGAGTCCGCGGTTCCTGCTCCCACCCAGCTGGGCTCCTGCAGGAAGGGCCCGTCGGGTCGGCCGCACGTGTCCAGCAGGGGGCGCACTCACCAGCCTCTCCATACGAGGCCCTGTAACCGCACTGTCTCTGGCGCCTCGTTTTTGGAGCCGTTATTTTAGGGCACCCTGGGACCCTGCTGGCTCCAGGAACTGGAGTGAACAGCGAGTCCTGCTGCAGGAGCCAAAGCTCCCAGATGGCAAGGTGCCACCATGCAGCGCGGGGAGAGCACCATGACACAGGCGACTACCCCGTTGTCACTAACGTGGTTCAGGTGGGGTTTTTTTAAAAAGTCAGAACAACTGTGTAGCATCTATCAAAGTGAAGTGGTCTGAATGTCGGTTCATCTTGTCCCAAAGTTCAGCCTGGAGGCATGTTAGCTTCCAGAGCCCTCTTTGGTCCTCGGTAAGGGTCTCTGTTGAGGATATTGTCGGGGTCTGGGGAACGAGAGGGGGCGTTGGATTGGCACCAGGGTCCGCGCATTCATAGCTTCCCCGTAAGTCTATAAATGGATCCCGTGAAGCCAAGAGTGATTCCTCCTGAGACTCGGCATACACCCAGCCGCAGTCTTTCCACGACTCCAGCCTGGGTCTCTCCAGTTACAGCCCTTCCAGCAGCTTCCAGAAGGGCAGCAGTCAGGGCCCAGCCACACGGGCCCAGCTCGGGGCTGGATGAGAGAGCGTGTGCTTCTGCTGGTCTTTGGTGCGTGGTGGTGTGGTCTCTGGTGGTGACGTCCACGGTCAGGCCATCTGCCCACATCCCTGAAGCCTGGGGTCTCTGTGGAATTCCACGGGGGTTTTTTCAGCCTTCCTTCTTCAGAGAAGTGTAGATGGTGAAAGGTTCCCCATGCCGGCCCTGGGCTGATTTCCTCCCCCACGCAGCAGTCCCCAGGCCTGAGTCTCGTGCGGCGCCGCCTTGGGGAGCGGGCACTCGGATCGGCTCGGCCGGTGATATTTGTGCTGGGATAGAGACCATTCCACTCCTCACTCCATCTTCTCCCTGCCGACCCAGAGATCTCATCGGTTTCCTGCAGCTCCCGTCCCTGCCTGCCTGCCTCCCGGGCCTGGTCCAGCAGACCCGCTGAATTAATACGGAAAGTCACCTGGAAAATTTAAGCCAGCTGTTGGAGTTCATTGAAAATCTCATTTAGCCAATTTGGTGGTGCTGTTTCTGCAGGCTTGATTAGCTTCAAGGACAATGAAAAATTAGCCTCCGCCCGAGCCTGCGGTCGAGCCCCACCCGCAGGAGCCGGCTCGCTCGCTCTCATTCCCTGCGCTAGTGGCGGTGACACCTTTTCCCCGCAGTGTGAGGCTGCGATCCGTCGTGGTCACACTTTGTCACACGCCTTCTCTGCCACCGTCCCTTGGGGCTTTCCCAAGGTGAGGACAGATATGTCAGAAATCGTCACCACCTGGGAGTTTGTTTGTTGAGCATGTATTATCGGCCAACCGCTAGACGGAGGATGTAATGGGGACGGAAGCGTGGAGGTTACGGTGCAGAGGGAGACAGACTAGGAACAGATGATACAAGCAAGTGAGTAAGCGCAGGCGTGAGGAGGCCGTAAAGAAGCGTGGGGTGTGGAAGAGGGGCCGCCCATCTGGAGGGTTACAGCCTCCTGTTTCACAGTGGTGGCGGCACAGTCGGCATGTGGGACCTGGTGACTCTACTGTGGGGACGTCCTGTGCATTGTGGCGTGTTCAGCAGCAGCCTTGGTCTCCCCCTGCTGTGTGTCCCAGTACCCTTCCCTGGGCTGTGTCTCCACATCCTCCTCCACAGTCGTGGCCCACACTCAACCCCGTGCTGGCCCAGAAAGGAAGCACAGACTTCTTTCCTCCCAGTGTACAAAGTACGGACTCCCTGGGAGATTGGTCCATCTAATCCAACGCAAGCCTTTACAAGGATTAAGGGTAAGACAGAGGTCTTCGGGCAATGGAAACATCACAGAAAATCAGGGTCCTCAATCCAAATGACCTGCTCTTCACTCCACATTATACCACCACCACCTTCATCACCATCACCACCTTCATCACCGTCACCACCTTCACCACCACCATCACCTTCATCACCACCACCACCTTCACCACCACCACCACCACCTTCATCACCACCACCACCTTCACCACCACCATCACCTTCATCACCACCACCACCTTCATCACCACCACCACCCTCATCACCACCACCACCTTCACCACCACCATCACCACCTTCATCACCACCACCACCTTCACCACCACCATCACCTTCATCACCACCACCACCTTCATCACCACCACCACCACCTTCACCACCACCACCACCTTCATCACCACCACCACCTTCACCACCACCATCACCTTCATCACCACCACCACCTTCATCACCACCATCACCTTCATCACCACCACCACCTTCATCACCACCACCACCTTCATCACCACCACCACCCTCATCACCATCACCACCATCATCACCACCATAACCATCACCACCTTCATCACAATCACCACCATCACTACCACTACCACCTTCACCACCACCATCATCACTATCATCACCACCACCATCACTACAACCAACACATTCACCACTACCTTCATCACAATCACCACCATCATCACTACCTTCATCACCATCACCACCATCACCACCACCACCTTCATCACCACCTTCACAACCACTTTCATCACCATCACCACCTTCATCACCACCACCACCTTCATCACCACCACCACCTTCATCACCACCTTCACCACCACCACCACCTTCACCACCACCACCACTTTCACCACTACCACCACCTTCACCACCACCTTTATCACCATCACCACCTTCATCACCACCACCACCTTCATCACCACCTTCACCACCACCACCACCTTCACCACCTTCATCACCACCTTCACCACCACCACCACCACCTTCATCACCACCACTACCACCTTCATCACCACCACCACCACCTTCACCACCATCACCACCTTCACCACCACCTTCATCACCACCACCACCTTCACCACCACCTTCATCACCACCTTCATCACTACCACCACCTTCATCACCATCACCACCATCATCACCACCACCTTTCTCACCATTTCCATCATCATCACCATCACCACCACCTTTATCACAATCACCACCATCATCACCACCATAACCATCACCACCTTCATCACAATCACCACCATCACTACCACTACCACCTTCACCACCACCATCATCACTATCATCACCACCACCATCACTACAACCAACACATTCACCACTACCTTCATCACAATCACCACCATCACCACTACCTTCATCACAATCACCCCCATCACCACCACCACCTTCATCACCACCACCACCATCACTACCACCACCACCATCACCAACACCTTCCTCACAATCACCACCACCACCACACCATCACCACCACCATCACCACCTGACTTGCCTATAGTTGCATTCTTAACGAGGGATAGAACCAGGATGAACACAAGACCCCGACACCTAACCCACTATTTACGTCATTGCTCCAGAGCTATCACACCTACCATGTTTCACTTTGTGCTTAAACTCTCAGATGGCACAAAGCTATACTGGAAGATTTCATTGCAGCTAACATTTCCTTCCTGGTTTCTGTCACCAGGTGTGTGGCCTGAGTTTGGGGTTTGTTAAAGCTCCTTGAGTGATTCTAAAGAGTGGCCAAGGTGGACAAGCCCTTCTCAGTAACAACAGTTTCATGTAGAATGGGAAGACTTTCTCATTGTCAAATGTCCCCCACCCCCATCCCCGAATCTACTCTCCTACCAGTGTATTTCTAATCTAGTCTTTTGTCCTTATGCTAATGACTCTGGGAAGATACTTGTTTTATCTGAACATGACTTACGAGTTTTCTTGAGAGTGTTCTGAGTATGAATTACAAATGCATCAGTGCTCCCTATGGCCTATCTCTGCTTCGACCTCATGTGTCTAAGCAATGACCTGGAAACTTCAGATTCCACACCCTGGTGAGCCTGTCTCGGGGAGAAGTTCAAGGAGATCAACTCAACCTTTAGTGCTCACAGTGTCTGAGGTGGCGTGGCCTTTGTTACCCACTAGGGCAAGGATGCACCTGTGGTGCCTGCGAAATGGAGAAGCTCCAGGCTGGAGAAGGGACAGGTCTTCATTCTGTTGGTCACTGACAAGGGAATTCACAATGTCACTGTTGGTCTCGGGTTTCGATGTTCTCATCAGTAGAAACGGCTGGGGCTTTCGAAGCCGGAAACCTGTGCCTTGGGTGTCCGGACAGGTTGGGTTTCTGGGGAAGAAAGCGTGTTCCGCATCGCTGTGGCCGTGGTGGGCAAGGCAGCCAGACTGTTGCGAAGACACTGGGGACAGACAGACAAGCAACGCTGAGCTGTTTGGCGGGCGAGCGCGAGGCGGGGAGGAAGGAAGTACTGCCCTGCCTTCCCTGTCCCCGTCAGTAGACACCTCTGTTGGCCAACGAGCTCTCCCAGCCAGGAAAGCAGTGTTGACATTCGAGGATGTCAGCAACACACTGGACAAGGTTTCTCAAGGCCACGTCTCAAGGCTGGGTGAGCCGGGTGACGGCAAACTCAGGGCGTCGGCGACATAGTTTACCCCATAGGCCACAGCCAGCAAGTTTGGGGCGTGGGATTGATGGTGGCTGCAGGAGAATGGGGTTTGGCAGAACTGATCATCCCTTGTTTTTAACCGTGCTGGGCGTGCGTTGAGGTGTGACCGGGTGGGACTCACAGCGGCCGTCCCCGCACAGGTGTGTCCATTG